CCAACAGCTTGAAGTTGCAGCAAAGTAGGATTAGGTTAAATATCAGGAAAAAAAACAACTTCTTCACTGTTAGAACATGAGACAGTGGAATAGACTGCCTAGGGAAGTTGTTGACCTCCAGCACTGGAGGTGTTCAAGAAGAGCTTGGACAGTCACTGGTCAAGGATGATCGAGGCATAACTATGCCTATGTTCTACTACTGGTATTTCCCAGGCTTCTGGGCTCTGCTGTTTGCCACATGGGGTTGGATAGAAATGATGACCTCTCAAGATTCCTTTCGGCTCTGATCCTCTGTTATTCTCTGATTCTATTTTTTATGTTTCTTATATCAATTAATACAAGGCATATATTTTTCTTAGAAGAAATGTAGGGAAAACATTTTGCAGAGATCTGTATTCCCAAATAATGCAACTTCAGAGTAGTGCTCATCTACCTAAAAAGGCATGTGCTCTAAAGTGCAAAGATAAAATCCAACTTGGACTACTTGAGAGTTAGTGGCTCTTTAAAATTTCAAAATCATCTTTCTGTCTGCAAAACTCCTATGAAATGACTGTTAGTACATGGAATTAGAGGAAACCTATTTTTTCCAGTTTGTGCATTTTACAATACTTTGGTTTCCATTAAGCCTAATATTTCCCCTATTGAGTCAGTCAGTTTCACCTGCCTTTTAATACTAACAGATAAGAAGAAAAACATTTTAGGGACAGGAAAGTGCAAGTATACTCTTGTGGGCAATGACATTACCTGAAAATATTTTAAATTTATATTTAATCCACAAATGCACACATTCAGTTCCACATATAGTTATCGGGAGTTGCGCACACATACCTCAGAACAGACTTTGGAACATGTGCAGGATGGTGCCATTGGTCTGGCTGCTACACTTTTTGAGATGAATTAAGGATTGTAGCCATATGGATTTGTAGTCCTATATGGTCTACATTTCCTTTGACGGCCAGTAAAATGGAGTCACTAAGTGATTTAACAAACCTATACAGGGCAGCGGTGTTCTTTTATGAAGCAAAGCCTGAAGCATTAAACATTAGCATTAAACACAAAAAAAGAGTACACTGGAATACAGAAGAATGTGAGAAATGGGGAGAAGGATGTGGGAAGTACCTGCTCATGGATCTCATCTGATTAGACCAAATTGATTCTAAAACTGAAAAATTATGAAAAGCAAATTGTTCCCTTCTTCACATTTATTGAAAGAGATAAAAAATTATGGAAGATGAAATTCTGTTTAGAACTGTGCCCTTTATTCCATAATATATATAAAATGCTGACATTGTTTGAGCTACAGGTTTGCTTTATCTTGTGATTTAGAACAGCTCATCCCTTTTCTCAGTTAGTGAGGTACTGCCACAGTATGTGTCTTTGGGGAAAAGCTGGAAGATAAACACTTTCGCTCCTGAAACACAGACACTGTTTAACATCACCAGTTACCACCTTGGCTACATGTTGGTAATGACTCTCAAGGCTAAAATTTCAGGCGGTTGAAACTTACTGTATGTCCTTGAAAAGTTTTAACTGGGCGATCACAGCCAAGTCTGCATACATGAATGCACATGTCAGTACTACAGGAGGCAAAAGTAGTGTTGTTCTGCCAATCTACATCCAGAGCAGGGGCTGCAAAGCATAAACAACAGAGTGAGCATTAAGGCAAAGAGATACAAAGTCCCCATGCCACCGACCTAACCAAAGGGATAAAAAAAATAGTCACTGGCCTCTTATAGACCTGGAAGAGTTCATTGCTGATGTGAAGTATAGAGACTGAAAATATGCTGTAGCTGTTTTAGGAGCTCAATTTTTTATCTGCTTGGAGAGAGGGAAACTTGGATATTTCATTTGGCATCTTCTGATGAGAGCCCTTAGGCCTTCAGGCAGTTTTAAGCCTATTGTTTTCCACACATGTCAACCTGGCTTAGCTTTGTTTTATAGAGAGGCACCTTTATTTGGTAGGGGATCAACCTAGGATAAATTGATTAAGCCTGGTTAAGTAAATTAAGAATATCCACACACATTTTAAAAAACACGTTAATTGAGCAAAAGCCAATTTAAAGCTAAACCATTTCAACTTTGGATACAGACAAGGCCTAATGTATTGTATTGTTTTGTTTTGTTGCCAAGGAAATCTTTCAGCTGCCCTCCTGAGAATGAGATCTACTTTTTATTTTCCAAATACTCTTATTATGCATGTGCCAGTAATGATGACAATTTATATTGGCCAAATACGTGGTGCATGTTTATCAAAATGAAAATGAGACCATTGACATTCATAATCTTGAGTTATTCTAAGCAACACTTTAAAAAGTATAAGGATGGAAATTTATCTGCTTGGGGCGGGGCGGGTGGGACAGGGATACCAATTACCTTGACTACATTTGTCCTGTCTCTATCCTCATGAACACTGAAATGAAAATAAGCACATCATGAGAGATGATGGCACTTTCTAAATCAGCAGGTGGCTTTCATTTAACTCTCTCCCATTAACCAAACAAATGAACAAACAAAACCACACCCAAAACCTAAAATTCCAGCTATACTGAAAAGGCTGAATTAAAGGCTTCAATTAAAACTGTCATTTATAATAATGAATAACCAAACCAAAGCATCCACGTGATTTGGTACAGGAGGAAATATTAGAAAAAAAATTAATGTTTTAAAAAAGAGGCTGCTACAGAGATAGGGGGAGTCAATGTGGAGACTGGGAGGCAGCCTGAGATTTTGATTTCCTTGGACTGCTGTCTGTCTTACATTTGTTCTGTGCGGCTTTGAATCTTGTGTTTTTAAATAAAAAATGATGGATAATCATTAGTATTGGTTTCCTTTTGGGTCTCCTGGTAAATTTAAGAAATTTCAGTCTAGAATTAATTTTCTAAGACCTATCTAGACCTGAAATTATTGAATTATAATGGAAGGGCCATACAAATAAGAACAGTGTTACAAAGATATGGTAAATTAAGCCTGGTTCAGTAAATTATGCTTAACATCTCTAGTATCAATAACATCTACTTTTATGCTTTATTTAATCATGTTTACTCAAGATATAAGGAAGCAAACAAAGAAAAGATTTTGGAGAAAACAGCCAAGGGTGTTATATGAGAAAGGTCAGCAAGACCTGGTGTATGGAGCCTCTGGATCCAACCTAGGGAGCTGTGACTTTGGTGGCATTTAGTATCAGTGACTCTGCCTATGTCTCACCACAGTCAGGCAGCATGGGCTCTCAGAGGGGGGCTCTGCATGTGCTGTGCCACTGTCAGATAGCAGAAAGAGGCAGCAGAGGTGGCTGGGTCTTAGTGCCCGTATACTTAAGACCCAGACTGATTCATTTCGGGCCCCAGTCAAAAAATGTTGCCAATCCCTGCTTTACAGAATGAGTAATGTGACTGCAAAAGCAGGGAAAGCCACACAGGCTTTTAGCCAACTGGTTGCTTTAAAACATTTCATAAAATCACCACCAAAATTCAAGAAATGCAGTTTACAAAAAAATAAATACCAACAGTAAAATATGTTTATTATGAAGAGAGGCAAGTGACAAAGCATGGTACTGTAATGACTAATTAGCTCAGCTTTCTCTTGCTTGTTACACTGTATCAGTTTAATAATTTACTCCTGGGTGGCACTTTGTATGCATGTCCAAACTTCGATAAATCTGAAAATAGGATTCTTCCAATTACATTTATTTAAATGAGCACTTGGAACATGTTCTGGTTGAAGTCTGTGTGTGGCTGAAGAAATCAGAAGGGCAACTTTATAAAAGGGTTAAAAAAGTGGTTTATGGAAACTGTAGGTTTGAACCTAAACCTGCAGCAAGACCCCAGGCTGTAGGGAATTCCAAGGGGATCAGAGGTCTCCAGGATCAGATACAAAAGGATTCTGGTTTGCCTAGACTAGGATAAAAGGGTTCTGTGTACATGCATGCATACATGTGTGAATCTGTGTGAATGTTTTCACTAATATGTGCTAAAAGTCTATGGCTGACCAGGCAGTACAGACTTTTATCATGTGCTATGATGGGATAGTCAAAACACAAGTTCCTCTCATGGCTTTATATAACTCATTTAATAAGTGCTAAAGGCAGTGTGATTTGTTTGGACTAGACTTCTAAATTGTGTTAGCTGGAAATGCTGCACCTTTAAATCCTAGTCTGCACAAGGACTTTGGTGGTACGTGATGTTTCTTGGGTGGGGGCAGGACGGGGCACAGAACAGCTTGCTCTGGGGAATGTGGGCTACAAGGACAGACTTGTTCTGATGTAACAAGCTGATCCAAAGCCCATTGGAACAAACAGAAAGACTCGATTGATTTCAGCGATCTTAGAATTATATAGGCTTTTGGCCAGGCAAGAGTGGAGATCCCAGAAGCATGCAACATTCTTAACTGTATTACTCTGTTTTGAAAATTAACATAATCAATCTGAAATGAACAATAATATTAGCCTCCATACAACTATTCATTCATATTTTGTGAGTGTAACAAAACCGCTGTGTATGTGGTAGAAGTTTTACTTTGAATGCTTTGTTATGTGCATCATGATTACAACATTGACTTAGTTTATTATTAATATAAAAGCATGGGGATGTGTGCATGATTCACATCATTTTCAAGTATGGCTAAATTTTTTTGGTGCACCCAGTTTCACTAGGATAAAATGAGTTAAGCAGATGTAGTATCTTTATCAGCTGTGCCATGTTACAGCGTAGGGGCTGATTCTGAAGATTGGCTCTCTTGGCAAAAAACAAAATTCGAAAATGAACAACACCAGAATTTTGCAAATGGAGGCTGCTTTTGTTATGAGGGCTGTTAAGTGCACGGGCTAGATGATGACTGACAAAGCAGCAGAGCGAGAATCTGGCAGGTTAATGGACATACTCTGTGGGCAGAACTAATGTGACTGAATATACTGCGGCTCAATTTGTGTTAGAGTAAACTAATCCTGACATCACCATCTACATGTGCATTTAAACATGGTAACTTACTACTTGTATCTGACAGGACTATCAGGCAGCACAGTAAATTAGTCTACTGGGCCCTAATTGCTGTGTATATGCAGAAAATGACACTCTGTAGCTAATTCATCTGCTATGCAGTAAAGAATCTCGTGCAGATGTGCCCTGTGTTTTCTATTGAATGCAGCAGACTGTGAATCATTTAAATCCACGTGATTTGCAACTCGCTTAATTCTCAGTGGGTTGATGAATTAAAGGTAAATAAGCCACTCAGTTGTTTGCTATGGCTTTTACTTCAAAGGGTACCATATGTCTACTCAGCTAGAGCTCTTTGGTAGTCCCATGCAAGCTCTTAACTGCAATTCTGAATAGTCCCAGTTATTCTGCAAATCCTAGTTTTGCAGGGGAGCTAGGAAACTAACTGTGCAAAGTATCCGGGTTCTACTATAAATATTTCTGCCTCTAATGGACATCAGTAATATCTAGGTTGGTTTGGATTTTTACACTGGGAAATAAGCGCTGTTTTAAATATTAGGCTCCTGGCAGATGTTCACTTTAAGACATGATAGTATCTAATCCTTGATCCAACAACTATGCATCCTACCATACCACACATGCTTAGCAAGATGCATGATTTTGGAATTGGGGGTTATCCTGGGATCCCCCTGCACCAGAAAGATGAAACCAACAAGCTGATTGTCATTTGGGGCTGGGAACCAAACCAGTCCCCAGCCCCAACTGACAATCATCTCAGCTCATAGGGAGCCTAGTATTGAGTTGTGACAGCCCAGTGCTGGACTCCCTGGGTACTGCAAGCTATAAAATCATGTGTGCTGTCCAACTGAGTGTCTCACATGGTTTTGATGTGTCCCAATGCATGGGGAGACCAGCATCAGGCTGCTGCAGTCCAATATCCAAGGGAGCTATAAAAGCATGTATCCTGGCCAGATGGGAGTCACATATACAACTCCTCACATATGACATATGAGGTTTTGACAGGTCCTGGCCACATGTTCAATTTAAGGTGTGACATAAATGAGCCACAAAGTTATTCTATAGTATATTCCACTGTATGTGGAATAAGTTTGTGGCTTGTTTACTGCATTGAGTTGCACATGTGGCCAGTCACTAAAGCACAATTAACCTGTTAATGGTGCCTTAAATGTAATGCGTGTTGGGGGCTTTAGTTAATAAAACAAAAACAACATATTTTTAACCACCATTTGGGACCTATGCTAGACCAGACCATTATGTTTAAAAAAACCCTAAATCATAGATTGCTGTTATCCTATGGGAGGGGACTATAACATATTTTGAACAAGAATTTGGATGTTTTAAAATAATTAGAATAGTTTTTTAACCTGGAATGCCATTATATGACTATGCCTGATATAGCTCTTTTACTGTAAATACTTTTCCAGGATCAGATTTTGATCCCAACTACTATTTAGTAAAGGATGACATCCTATTGGGTTGGTTGTGTGGGCAAGACTAATAAGCAGCTTGTTCAGATGGGACCAAAACCTTACACATGATCTCCACCAAACTTTTGGAATGGTACAATCCAGAATTTTCATTGACATCTGAATTTTGCTACTCATTTCTAAGAAAGGGCAAAACCAAAATCTGAGATCTAAACTTTGGGCTGTTTAAAATCCTGTCCTGGGTCTAGGTCTTTTAATTCAAGAAATGTTAAGTGGGAATAGTTTTAGTAGCACTTACTGACTCTGGATGGTGATGGGTCTGCTTCTTAGCCCCAGGGAGCATTCCTAGAGCTCAGGGCTTTAGCGGGAACCAAACAGGTCTCAGAAATCCCCACAAAACAGCTGGTAATTCATAAAAAGCAGGACATGGCACCCTGGTTGAGAATCACTGTGCTAGAAAAATACTTTAAATTCTTTGAAAGTCCATTTCAACTGCGTACCTATGCCTGGCAAATGATGCTCTCAAAGAATTTCTAATTGAGTATGTAACCGAGTCAACATGGTCAGTGCTCACAGAGCCCCTCACCTTCTCTTAAGCAGAAAACAAGAGTGCAACCCAGCTGTTTATGAACGGCAAGGCACACATCCATTTTAAAGTTGGTTTTAGTTTCAGTTGTATCTTTTTTCAAAGGGATATTTTCAGATTGCTAACATCAAGGGATTCAGAAAAAAATCACTTTATTCACAAAAAGCTAACATGGCAATTACCTGAATGGAAAGGAAACTGCTGCTTGGCTTCTCCTGTGTGAGCATCCCAAATTATTGTTGTCTATGTCCAGAGGGAGGGAAAAGAAAAAAGATTAGTGACCATTCCTCTTGGAAAGTAACAGGGGGAAAAAAAGAGCTCCCTGAGGACCAATTCTAAAAGATAGCTTGATAAAATTATTGACTACGGGGTCCCTTGGGCTGTTGCAATGCTGTAAAATATAAATCTTTTCCAATACACTAGTGATGGGAAAATAATGTACGTGTAGATATTGAACTGTCACCATTACGAAGAAAGCAACGAAAGCAATGGAAATAGGTTGCACAACTCTGAAATGCATTAGCCAGGAGATCGGACTGAGAAATTTCGTGAGGCTGAGCTTTAGGAACACTTTGTTACAGCTATTTCAGTAGCTCAATAAATTTCAATAATAAGATTTATTTATCTCTTAAAGAAAGTTCTTTTCCCATGTTTTGTATGATTTAGACTGATTTTATTTATCGTGGACCTAAAAGATTCTGTAAGTATCATTACTAAGTCACCATGTAGAACATTCATTTAAACGAAAAATATAAAGTGCGTGCTGTCACTGTGGTGCCCAGATGAGAGTATAATTGGCTTACTATGGATTTTTCCCCCCGTAGCTACAGCAAACTTCAGCAAAATCCTATAGAACTGAGCATTATCTTTGGAGTGAATTGTATGTTTATTAAAAAAATATATTTTTTCCATAAAATAAACACAGGATGCCTTAACTCACGGATAATGCGGTCATGTAAAGAACTGATGCTGATCCAAAGAAAATGGATCTATTGGAATAATGGAGCCACTGTTGGGAAATTAGAGATACTGGGTATGTCTACACATGATGCTACATTGCCATAGCGACTCACTACAGTGATGTAGCTCTTTGCTATGGCGATGTAGCATCACCGGGCACAAACTGTGACGCCGATTCTACATCGCCATAGCAACAAGCTACCTCGCTATAGCACGTTGCTACAGTGAAGCAGCTGCTAAATATAACTGTGTGTCTCCAGGACAGCTCAGTAATGACTGTTACTGTGCTCATCATTTAGTACTTCCTAAAGCAAGTACTAAATAATGGTGCAGTAACAAATGCATCGTGGGGGGCTCACGTAAACGATCCCACTGGGTATGGACCAGCAGTAAAATGGAATCAAACTAAAATTTTCATTTACAAGGATTTTTGGAAATTACTTTCCTGTTTCAGTACAAAAAGGTTTGTGCTCATCCTTCATTAGAAATTTGAAAGCTCTATCTTTGAGGGATACTTAACTGAAACCTGGCACTGTAGGCCTGCTTTTAAAATTAACACCAGCATGTTTTGAAAACAAAAATGTAAATAGTTTATTCAAATTTGTCTGTCTGGATGTTGAGATTAGGCAGAAAACAAGACCTTTTAAACCTTTTTCCCTGTCCCAGGATATTTTCATTTGCTAAAGGAGATGGATGTAAATACATAAGGAAACGACACTTGTTTCCTTGATATAGGAAAGGCTCAAAATTCAATTTGACACACATAGCAAAGTAAGGATGTGTTAAAAACTTTCCTTGCATGGTATAAATTTATATAGCCATGGAAGAGTAATCAGTCTCGATCTGATGAAATCAAGGCCCAACAAAGCAATCTTAAAATAGGGCAAATTTGCAAAGTAAGAGAAAGAGGGGGCACTGGGATTTTAAACAAGACAGGTTCACAGCATCAGAACATTCATACATCAAAGTTACATCTATGTAAAACTCACTTTATCAACACCAGCACTTAAAATGTAATTCCCCTTTTTGTTCCATTTAAGGGCAAATATGGGACCTTTATGTTGACCTAAGGTACTAGCAAGGTTTCCTGAAATATAAAAATAAAAAAAAATGAATGTCACAATTGTTTGGAAGCTGGAATAAGGATAAAATAGCACAATACTAGTAACCATTTGTGAAAACAAAACTGTTGTATGACTTACCATCTTCTGTCCATATTCTTGCAAAACCATCATATGATCCTGTAGCCAATAGTGTTCCATCACTCTAATGTGAAAAGAGCAATAAAAACAACATGTAAATAAAGATTACACACTGATTCAGTGATTTATTCTTTAACTTAGTGTCTTCTGAAGTTAGGGAAATGTGATAGCCCACATGGCAAAACATCAACTACTGTTATTAAATTAGAGGTTAGCACTGCTGTCACCAATGAGAGAATAAAATCTACAAACATGACATTAAATATTAGGCTATACTGAATAACAAAATAACTTAACAAAAGCATTAGGATAAGTCCTTGGTATATAATGATTTTATGGGATTTGTTTTATGGTTGATAAACATAGCTAGCATTTTCTGGCATTTAGCATATAATTTTTAACATGAATCCCTTTGATAATGTTTCTATTACAACATTAATCATATAAAAACACAAGAGAATAAAAATATATTAGTCAGTAGGAAAGGTTCACCTCAGAATACAAATACTATCATATGTCTAACTAAATAATAATGGCAGATACCTTTAAGTTAAGAAAAACACAGAATAACCCCTTGATAAATTATGTCCATTCATATCGTTAAAAACAATGGGAGAAAGTAGCTACTTATTTAGCTCAAGTTATAAAGCAAACACAACCTGAATCAACTTTACTGAGACATGTATTTAGTTACATGATGGGAAGCACACAGGTAATAACCAGGGATCTTGGTTTTCTCTGATAAAAAAAAACCTTAATTTTTAGGTTAAAAAAAGTAAAAGTGGTGTTTCATTCTGATCACAGAAGAATGTGGATTGTGGGTTACTTTTCTGATCTGAAAATTGGAGATTTTTTTTTAATTAGAGAAAACCAGGATCCCTGGTGATAACCACTATGGAAAACAAGAGAGGGGAAAGATAAGTAAAAGATGCAGAAGTAAAAGATGCACAAATATAGTTCAGATTTCCACCCCACAAGATAGTAGTAATTTTCTTGTTTTCACTTCCCTTGTAAATCACCTTAACAATTTGGCATCACATTGAGTTATTCGTTAGGAACATTTGCTTATGTAAACACTAGAATAAACTTTAAGATATATCTTGATAGATACAATAGCTTTGGAAATTAAATGAAAAGACCAGCTATTGAAGGATACCTCTTCCCAACCATTCCTTCCACTTTTTCCATACTCATGTCTTTTTTCCCTTCTTGCTTCCTTCTCTGTAGTGAATTCTTCATTTCTTTACTCTGGTCTACTACCATCTAACTCCTTTTTCCAAATCATCCTGGATATTGTTCTTTTCCATGCTGCTCAGGCCATTCTTGATCAAGTATTCAAGAAGATCCACTATTTTCATGTTTATCTTCCTTTTTAACATCGCTGTAACCCGTGTCTGCTTTTCATTGCCTTCGTTCACAGCATCAAGTTTACCATATAAGTGGAAGCTATAACTTCCACAGCTTTAACCCTTTTTTTGGTGAAGCATTCAATTCACTGTGGGGTCACAATAATCATGCAGTGATGATCAATCAATATATGCAAGCCCCAAGCCTGCAAATGGCAACTTGGGTTGATGTGAAGTCTGACCAACATTTACTTTTTTTATTTCCTCACTCTTAAAGACAGTTAAGCCATTTTTATTCACACTTCTGTGGTGATAAAAGTTACAATTTAGAGATGCTTTCTAATTTAGAAGAGTTGGTAATTGGGAGATTGTCCCTCTTTGGGGCAAGTAGCTAGTCAGAGACAAAGGAACTTCAGAAGGTTGTCTGCTAATCCACAAAAAAAGTTGTGCAGTCCTTCTCATTCATGCCCAACTGTTTTTATTGAGCTTGGTGCTGATTACATCTTCCAAAAATAAATATATAAACACATAAATTACTAAACCCTGGTAGCAACACATGGAATATCTGAGTATAGCAAACCAAAGTTCAGTCTTATATATGTACCTGAAAGCAGGGGGTTCATAGAATAGGGTAGAATCCTGGCTCTCTTAAGTATAAAGGAATAAAATAGGAGCTGCAATTGCCTCTAAATTAAATTTATGGAGTTAAAAACTATGCATGTTCTTAGAAGTTAACTTACATTCCAGTCCAATGAAGTCACATCCTTATTGCTGGGGACATCATGTCCTCCTTCTCTTATGCAGTGCCTCAAAACTAACTGAGTGGAACCGCTGTTGCTGTTTTCATTGAGATTCCATATTCTGGCTGTTGAGTCTCCAGATCTACAAAGATGAACACAAAGAAAGGACCATTTTTTAATGAGACCTTTTAATACAGGTGGTTGGAACCTCCAGTTACACTGGAGATTGAGAGAACTCATAGAACAGGTTGGAAACATACAGCTTGTGGGCTGCATCTGGCTCAAGGAGCTGGAAAGCGTTGCCTGTGCCTGTACCTATGCCCATGTGGGGGCTGAGCAGTGAGGAAATGCATGAGCCCAGGCAGCTGGAAGCTGAGTCCATGCTGCTGTCACTTTTCCTTGCCCCCACCTTCCTCTATATCCAGCTGCAGCGCTGGTGCAGCTGGGAAGTGGGCAGGCTGGGAGAAGCAGTGGCTGGCAGCATGGGTGCTGTTCCCAGCCACCTGGATCAGGCATGGCTCTCTGCTGCTGACATACACCAGAAGTCATTTGGTCCGCATCAGACCAGCCTGCAGCCTACAAAGGTTGCCAGCCTCTGTTATAGACTTTTAAAAAGTACTTTTTTTCCTTCATTCCCATTCTCCAGTTCTCTACTTGCAAAATTTTTTAGTGACAATTATTCCTGTTCACGTTCTTAAACTAAATGCAAAGAAAACCTTTTCTTGTGAATCAATTTATATCGCAGCTATATTTTTCAAAACCAAGTTGTGGACTTGACATTCGTTCACCCTGTTTCACAGTTCATGCGCACATCACATTTGAATTAGAACACAACTCAGATCATGTTACAGAAATTGACAAGTAACAATTTATCAAAACTCAAACAAAACTATATACAGTCCACTCTTTGGTGTAGTCTAAGATAGTTCTATACCACAAGTCTAGAAAGCTGACGTACAGCTGCCTTAAAACAGGATCTGGCCCATGCCTTTTTTAGTGGTTACAAGCTAGCACTATTGGTTCAAAGCCACCTACTTAGCACTGTTCTTTAAGGCAGCATTTCTTAACCCATCAGTTGCATCTCAAAAGTGAGTTGCAAGAATATATGAAAGGGTTGTGCACAAACGTTAAAAATGGATTCTCCTTTAAACAAGAAAAACTTGGAAAACCAAGGCTTTTCCCTGGAAGGCTGGCAGGATTCCAGCCTGCAAGGGGCTGCCTCCATGCCCCACACACCCACCCCCTGCCACACACATCTATCCCTTGCCACATGGCGGGGGGGGGGGGGGGGGGGGGGGAGCCGAGGGCAGGGGGCAGAAGGTCAAGAGTGAGGGAACTGGGTGGGGACTGGCCATTGACGTTTACAAATGGGTCACGGTCCAAAAAAGGTTGAGAAGCACTATTTTAAGTGACATCCAGGCTTGGAGCAAGGTGAACTATGCTCCAGTATTCACTGGTCTGCAGAATGGTCCCTTACCTCTAGACTAGATGAGGAGCCAGACCAGCCTACAGTGAGTCCCAGAATTAGTGGAGCAAAGAGGTTGCTTAGCTACACCTTTCACTGTCTCTTGTCTACTGAGAGCTGTCTTGACTGAAACTTGGCCCAACTCAGTCATCTAGTTCACATCTTGCAGCGGTAAAATGGCTGTTAATACCAGCAGAGTCATTGCTTGGGCAGTAAGTGTGGTAAACTGTAAAGTGTTTGTAGTTGTACAGATCCATTTTATGGACTGAGTCTTGTCTAAGTAAGTGAGGCATTTTCCTGAAAACTGAGGCCATGATCCTTTATCATCACAAAATTGTGACGATTAAGTCAGACTCTATTTTCCAATGAAAGAACATCTTTGAAGTTGGAAATCTATTTACCACAAGATGGCAGAGATTTCACTTCCCAGCTTCTTGGGATTTGCACAAAAAATACCTGTGTTTGTCCACTGAGGGAGGTGTGTATGTGTGGTGGGGGCTACACCACAGATTCACTGTGCCTGGCAATGGTGCACTCAGACAAGTCATACTGATTCCCTTGGGCTACCTCCTGAACCAGAACCAGGGTAGCAGTGTTTGCATAACAAACTGGGGAGGCTAACTTGCCTTTCTGAAGTGCTGGGGGATGCTACTACTTTGGTGATCCAAAGGGACAGGACAGCATATCTGAGGGCACTGCCACCCAGCCCAGTCTTTATTGTACTTGGTGCTGACTGCAACTTCCAAAAATAAATGTATAAACATACAAATTACTAATCCCTAGTGGCAACATTTATGGAATTTCTGAGCACAGCAAACCAAAGTTCAGTCCTTTATATGTACCTGAAAACAGAGCGTTAACAGAGCAGAATAGAAACCTGGCTCTCTGAAGTATTAAGGAATAAAAGAGAAGTTGCAATAGTCTCTAAATTAAATTCCTGGAGTTAAAAACGGTGCATGTTCTTAGTAGTTACCTTACATTGCATTTGTTGGACACACAACCCCATGTTACTTCCTTTCAAATGAAGTAAATAGAATGTGGAACATGTAGAATCTCTCATATTTTCACAAATTCATACATGTAAAGTGAAATTATATTGTCTATAGCTGCACTCTCAAACATCATTGTTGTTTTAAAAAAAATAATAATTAGAAGTTTTATTATTACAGAAAAACCACAAAAGGAGAAAATGCAGCTTGTAAGATCAGGATCTTGGGATAAAATTTTTTTCTCCATAACCCCCATTTTTAAGTGCACTGATAACACAATTGCACTGAATTGAACAGCGGGCTTCAAAAACCAAAAAAATCTGAGTTATAGATGCTAACAATATTAAGAATATCCAAAAATATTCAAAAGGTATTCAAAACTATTAAAACATATATTATTAAAGCAATTTTCAACAATTTAATTTACAAATCAATCTAAATTATATTAAAATGCTTAAAAATATATACAGATCAAGTTACTTTTGTTGATCTGTCTGGCATGAAACCAGAAGGAACCCAGTGGGTGTGTCCAGATGTGTGTGGATGTTTGGTTCCCTGGGGACAACTAGCAGCAGTGCACCTTGCACCACAGATACCTGTCCCCAGGGAATGCCTGGGCTACTCATGCTTTGGTACGTGGCAAGTTGCCCTGTGTGGGGTAGGGGAGGCTGGGGGCAACACTTACCTGAGGTTCTGGGGCTTCCCAGGACTGCAGCCCTGGTGGTTCTGCTGCGCAGAGCTTGGCTGACAGCAGAGCATGGTTCTGGGCAGCCCAGCTCTGCTTTTCAGTGGCATGTGCTGCTTGAGCGTGTGCTACACCAATTTTTTCCCCCACGGTTGCTTTTTGACCCCTGGATATCCAAGGGTCAAAAAACCCATGGAAACAAACCCTGGCACAGAGCACACTCGGGCAGTGTGTCCTTGCAGACACCAGACTGTGTGGGATGTGGCACTGCAAACATGTTTGCGGCACCACATACCACATAACTGCGCTTGTCTGGACGCGCCCAGTGGGTGCATCTACACGTGCTCTGAAGGCGACATAATAAACCCTGGCTTAGTTTGTGTGTATAGATGCATTTAAATAATAATTTAAATGATCTGTAAAATGATTTGTTGTAAATTGATTTAATAATCAATTAAATCACGTGCACCTGGGATGGCAGTATTTTGAGGTAGGGTAGAGCAGCCCCAGGCTGGCATCAGGCTCAGGAGATCAACCCAGGGCTCTGGGTGGTGGCATCAGGTGGCAGAGGGGCTGGCTGAGGCACAAAAGTGCCTAAAGTGCAGAGCTGTGTAGCTAGGCAGCAGGCAGGGGTCTGGCCCAATTGCCTGGGTTGACTAGGCACAATTTATGCCTGGGTCAGCATTTACACATGCATATCACAGCAGTTAATAACTGCCATAAGATAGTATTGTCCCCAACAGAACTATCTTACAGCAGAGTTAATTAATTTACTGCACCCTAATACTGGTACTTGTGTAGACAGCGATACTTTACCGCGATGCTAATTAGTCAACTCCACAGTAAAGCGGATGTGTAGATGCATCCAGTAAATGTTGATATTAATCACTGTTATTCATTAGGCAATCATTGCTTTTTCAGTCAGAGTTTACAAATCCAATTAGCCTGTGGGACTCTCATAATTATTTATAAAACTGATTTTCATAGGAGGACTATTTTATTACTCCTAATGCACCTGTATGATATGCTTAGGCTACCCACAATCTAGCCCAATACAATTTAGGCAATTTATCAGTTAAAACATTCCCAGCAGTCATTCTTGCATATTTAAAAAATAGTAATGACTACTAAATAAATTGGATAATATGTTTTCCCCTGCTACAGAGCTGAGTTTGCTGTGGAAAGAAGTTTCAATGCAACTTTCAATGCAACTAGGGATCACAAAATGAAACTAGTAGGTAGTAAGTTTAAAACTAACAAAAGGAAGTTCTTTTTCCCAGAGTGTACAATTAAAGCATGGAACTTATGCCACCAGATGTTGTGGAAGCTGCCTGTTTAGCTAGATTCAAAAAGGGATTGGACAAATTCTTGGAGGAGTAGCTATTGTACCATCAGTAGCTACAAAGCATGGGAGTTAGGGGCACAGCCTCTGAATTAGAACTTCCTAGTAGGGGTGCGCGAAGTGGGTCATATTCGAGTTGGATTTGGATTCGATTAGTTGATTTGGATCACTGTTCCTGATTCAGTTCGACTGAATCTGAATCTGAAGAGTCAATGCTGATGCGGAGAATCAGCGATTTGGCCACAGACACAGCTTTAAGTGTTTTTTCTATATACCTCAAGGTACCAGGCACAGCTCATAAATGCTGTGATGTTGTGGCAGACGGAACATCCCACAGGAGCACGGGGGGGCCCCCAGTGTGCTTGGCAGTGAACTTGGAAGTGGACTAGAAGTACTTCTGGTCCACTTCTGGGTCTGCTGGGGAGCGCACCCATTGGTCGCTCCCCCCACGACTCAGAGATTGGCCACAGGGGGACCCCAGGTGCCCTCCCAGACCCAGGAGGCACCCATCGCTGAGCTGAGGGGGCACGGAGGGGGCCCCCCAGTGTGCTCCCTGGAGGACCTGGAAGTGAACTGGACATGCTTCTGCTCCACTTCTGGGTTCACTGCCAAGCACGCTGCTTCCCTCCCCCCTGCGCTCCTGTGGGATGCTCCATCTGCC